TATAAAATGTGTTGTGCTGGCCCTAGGCTATACTTTTTACGTTGGCTTGTTAATACTGTCTGTCAGTTGTAGGTAATATCTGTCTCATATAGTTCATTAGGATTCACTAATTTTAAAAAACCCAGTGGTTCAGATTATTAAATACAATTTTATAAGTTTGGCCATCATTACTCAAAGTCCATGGTAGTGAAAAAGATTTTATTCTTCCTATATGTAATTATTTCTTTTTTTGGAGAAAAAATAACTCTCTTTGCACTGTATCTCATGTGACTGTACAACAAAACTATTGTGTGAAAGTTAAGCCATTTATGATAAGGCATTGCTGAAACTAGACTTTTTTAAACTGTGAGAAAAACAAGATGTAAATTACACGTTTTATTGGAAAATAAGCAGAAACAGCGAGTAGTGGTCATGGAGAAAAGTACCACAGAACCAAGACTGGTCCCCTGGCTGAGGAATCCAACTCAGAAACATATAATCCGACAGAGTTTCCGCCTGGCGCCAGGCTTTCTGCCTCCCCCGGCGCCGAACTGACTGTCGCGATAGCTCCAGCCCTCTTGCCCCCAGCAGACTCCCACCGCGGTGCTCAGCACCACCCCCATCTCAAACCCCTCACGAAAATCAGCTCAAAATGGATTAGAGACCTAAATGTAAGATCTGAAACAAAAACCTCCCTGCAGGACACATAGAGAAGCTCCTTGACGTTTTCCCTGGCAGCGATTTTTTGGATATGATGCCAAAAGCACAGGCGTAAAATGAAAAATAAAGAAGCGGGACTCTGTCAGACTTTCTGCACAGTAAAGGAGGCAGTCAACAAAATGAAATGGCAACTACGGAGTGGGAGAAAATTTCGTAAGCTTTCTATCTGATACGGGGCTAGTATAAATATCTATATAAGGGACTCATACAACTTAATAGCAAAACAACAACAGTCCAGTAAAAATGGCCAGCAGCTCTGAACAAACACTTCCCCAAAGACATACCGATGGCCAACAGTAGATGAAAAGGTACTCGACGCCATTAATCACGAGGAAAACGAAAATCACAACCACAGTGAGGTCCCACCTCACGCCTGTTAGAAAGGCTGTTCTCCAACAGACCAGAGATAAGCCTGGGCAAGTACGTGGGGACAAGAGGCCCTTGTGCCGGTGGGAAGGTAGATCGGTGCAGCCACTGTGGAAAATAGCTCCGAGGCTCCCCCCAAATTAAAAATATAGCCACCAAGTGACCCAGCAGTTGTCCTTCTGGGTATGCGTCCGCAGGCAGTGTAGTCCCCGTGTGAAGAGATACCTTGCTGTCACGTTCATTGAAGCATTACAGTAGCCAAAACACGGAGGCTACAACCTAAGTGTCTCCTGACCGATGAGTGGATAGGAGAAACGCGATGTGTACGTATGACGGAATAGTACTCAGTCGTAAAAAAGAAGGAAATCCTGCCGTCTGTGACCACATGGGTGGACCTGGAGGGCATTCTGCTAAGTGGACGAAGACAGCGGAGAAGGACACATCCTGAGTGGCCCCACAGTGTGGGCTCTAAAAAGGGGAGCTCGTTCTCTGGAGAATAGAGGGTGGTCGTCGGGGTTGGGCGGGGGAATGGGGGACGTAGATCCAAGAGCACCAGCCTACAGTGGAAGATGAAGAATTTCTGGGGACCCAGTGTGTGACAAGGCGACTTAGTTAACAGTACTAACAATACTGTATTGTATTCTTGAAAGTTACTAAGAGAGTAGATCTTCAATGTTCTCACCACATACACAAAAAGATAATTATGTGGGATGATGGAAGTATGCACTCACCCTATTGTGTTACTAATTTTGCAATATCTACACGTACCGAATGATGGCACTGTACGCCTTGCACCTGCACAATGCTGTGTGTCAGTTATATCGTAATAAGCTGGCAGCGCGGTGGGGAGACTTGGGATTTAATTCACGAAAAGGGGGAGCTATTGAAAGATTTCGAACAGAGAGTGACATGAAATGACTTACACGTTGAAACGGTCACCTTGTCAGGTCCGTTAATTGGCCGAGAGGGTGGAAGGATGAGGCAGGGAAGCCGGGTAAGAGGCCACTGCAAGAAGCCATGTGGAGCCGGAGCCGCGGCAGCGGCGCAGAGAGTTTGGATTGTCGACTGAAGACGCAGCGCCGGCAGTGCTTGTGGGCCGATCGGATGTGGCCTGGACAAGAGGGGGTGGGGTCGAGGGTGAGAGCAACCGCTCCGACTAACATCCCTCCACGGGACGTTGTCAGTCCGTGTCCGCACGTGAGTGGGTTCTGCCCGTTTTGTACCAGGTTTCTACTTTCTTGTCTGTGACCTAATTGTTCTCCACCAGAGTCTCTAGTCAATGCTTTGAAAACGTGAAAGTGAGTCATTCATTCTGAGAGTTTAGGAAATTGCATTTCAAGATGCTAAAATCGAAATTCAGCTACTGGTCAGTCAGATTGTCAATTTGATTGAAAAAAATAAGGGAAAGCCACAGGCACAATTCCGAGCTTCCCATTTATAGATGGTCACCCTTCACTTCATGTACAGTCTTCATAACTTCAGTTTTTTAGGAAGAACCGATAACTCAGAGACCGTTAGGTGAGTGACTACTGTGTAGCAGACATTTGGGTAGTGCTGGGGACCGGGGGGCACAGGGCACGTCCTCGCGTCACGGAGCTGTGCTCTGGTGGGAGATGCAGAGACGTAATCGAGTTGGGGGAATCCATTCTGATCAGAGATGGAACAGGTGGGGACAGAGGTCCATGGGGACAGAGGTCCATGGGGACAGAGGGTGGCACAACCTGGTTTTATCTAGAGGATTCAGGAGGCTGGTAGCGGGGGAGCCATGTACGGGTAATTGTGTCAAGAGCTGGGATGGGATTCGAGGTCCAGGAGGTGAGAGAGTGCGCGGGGGCTGTGAATGAGGATGGTGTGCTTGGTTGACTCAGGCTAGAGGTTTGGGAGCGGGCGGGTACGTGGTGCGCAGGAGCCTGCAAGGCAGGGCAGTGTCAGGTCTTGAACTGTCTTGCGTGTGACAAGGAGAGAGTTGAAATAAAACCTGCAGACCCTGGGCATTAGCAGAGACATCTCAGCAGGGGGACAAGATGGTGCAGTCAAGGTTTGGGCGTGGTTCCTTGGCCACACTGTGGAGAATGGGTTGGACAGGGAGGTGACCTGGGATGGGGAACCCAGTCTGCCTGTCACCCTGGTCCTAGCAAGGGACGACGAGGGCCTGCCTTGAGCAGTGCAGAGACGAAGCACACGGAAGAGCTACTTAGACAGTGCACTTAGCACAGGCTAGTCGAGACGGCATGTGGGAGCATTAGCCCCGAGCCTGAGGTGACCCCTAGGTTCCTGTGCTTGGAGCCTGGAAGACAGGTCGCACATTGCTCCGTGCGAAGGAGAGCTGTCTCGGGCAGCGGCTACTGAAAAGTCACTGTGGCGTTCAGGGTGGAGTCTGGCTGGACAGTGGAATTCCATTCATGGAAAATCTCCCGGATGTTACCCTGTCATTTTTACAAAAATACAGGACTTGTTTTCCTACCCCTTATAGCAGTGGCAAGACCTTTTAGCGGTGCTTGTATTGAGTAAGAATGCTGTTACGTATCCCTGACAGTCATGGCAAAATCTCTTTAGCCACACACATAATTAAGAAATACCTTTTACAGATAGCTATGTAAAACAGAACAAGACAAAAAATGACAATTGGGGGGCTGGAAGGTTTGTAGGGTAACCCCACTCCCTGCAGGGGGCATCGCCCCTTCCAGCTGCTGCACGTTTGGGGAGACTGCGTGGCCGCACGTAGCAAGAGCTGTAAAGACGAACGTGCTGTTTCGCTCAGCAGTCCCGCCCCCGGTGGTCGAAGGGAACGGATTCAGTGCCTGTTACTGAAAATTTGCCTCACGGACGGGATCTGCATGCCACGTTCAGGGGGAGTGGTTTAACGTGTCTGCGCGTGTTTCTACTCGGACTGTGGGGAAACATGGAAGCATAGTTACCCTCGTGTAAAAATAGTATTTATAATAATGTCACAGCGACGCAAACGTATGTACACCAACAGAGACTCACCGGAAAAACATTAAAAACGAAAAATATCAGAACGCTGAATTATAGATAATTCTCTCTCCCTCTTTCTCTCCAAAGTAACATTCCTGTCAGGACAGCTTTTCAGAAGCTTTAAAATATATAAATATTTTTATAAATATATAATATAAATTTTTATAAATATATTCCATAAATACATAAAATACACAAATATGAATATATAAAGCTATAAAAATAGAAGTAAAGTGGCCATAAAGGAAGCACGCCTCTAGACATGCTCCAAACACTGTGATTTAAATGTTTCTTGGGTCCCTGGGGAGGGTGGGGTAAAGAACCAGGGCTGAGCAGCGACGTGAAGCGAAAAAGAAGGCAAAGGAATGAGCGGTTGGGGGTGGCCAGCGCGTCCCCTCCCGTCTGGAAGGGAGTCACTGTGCGTGGTCTCAGGGTCCCATGATCCCTGGTTGTGGAAGCCTCTCGTCACAGCTGGCGTCATGTGACATGGGTGGGAAGGCAGGACCACAGGGACCACCTTTCCTCCCCACCGTCCACACGCTGGGGACGGTGACACGGCCGGGGCACGTCTGCGTGGAGCAGCGGAAGATCTGAATGGAGGCTGTGGCAGCAGATGAGGCAACCGCATTTGTTGTACTCATCAGGTTGCTTTCACTCATGCGTTAACCACAGGTGAATAGGAAAAGGCCGCAGGGTTTTTTTGTGTTGTGTTTTTTTTTCAAAAAAAAAAAAAAGCATCAGTATTGCAAAGACTTTCCGTGATTGCACGCCTACCTAGGAAGCCCCTCATACCACAGGAAGCGCGCTGACCATCAGGGGGATAAAAGAGGCTCGGGAGCAGCTGGAGCTAGCTCATACTCCCCCAGCTCCGCTCAGCTCAGCTCAGCCCAGCGCAGCCCAGCGCAGCCCAGTGCAGCCCAGCGCAGCCCAGCCCAGCGCAGCCCAGCAGGACCACAGCCATGCGCGCTCTCGTCCTGGCCCTCCTCGGCCTCTGCTGCCTCGCCTCCTACGTCGTGGAAGGTAAGTTGAAAGGCTGTCCCTGGGATAAGGAACAGATCCACAGGCAGGTGGGGCCTTGGTTTGGTTTTGACTAGAGTCGAAGACTTTCCCCAAGGAACGCCTCAGACTTCCCTGTGAAAAATGGGAACAATGATTTTGACTGTAGGGGACTTGTAGCTTCCAAAGACAGAACTTGATTAGACTCTGGGCTCCTGCTTTTCATAATTGGGTGATTTGGGGTAAATCTCTTAATCTCTCTGGGCCTACAGTTAGTTTTCTATAGGTCGAATATAATAACCCGTACTCTCCCCTGGGATTAAAGTGAACTGAATCTTAGGGTCACTTACCAGGTTTCCTCACAAGAAGTCACGTCTTGATTAACGTTAGCTGTGAGACAGTGTGACGACTGTCGATGCCTTAGCTTTTGCCTGAGGAATACTGATCTTGGTAAATTCTCAGAATTTCTGAGAGTTCAGTCACCGTGTGGGGATGAGCTAGAGGGTGTATGTTCTGAAGCAAATCAGTGTTTTCTATTGAAAAGAAAGACTGGAAGCTCATACCTTCCTACAAGGAAATCAGTATTACCTTCAAGTATATGGGAGAATTTATGATAATGGTTCTGAATGTTGCTCCCATTTATGGTACATTTCTTGAGCTGATAAGAGGCCATAGGATAAGTGCTAACAAGTAGATCGGTGCCTTATGCGCAGACAAACCCATGGGAGACACCCCATCGAGAGGGAGCCGCACTGAGCCTTGCCTGCAGGCCCTGCCCTTCCTTCCTAAAGGACTTCTCTTTTCCCATGTGCGGCTCTGCAACAAGAGAGACTACCGTCTGGGGGTGACTGATGTTGCAGTGAACTCTGCTCTCAACCTCCTCATTGGTAGCCTTATTACTTAGACCATAGACTCTCTGATCACAGATCCCCAAGGGTGCCCATGACTGGAGGTGGCAAAGGTGGGAACTCCCTGAAATTGTGAGCAAAAAGGAAACTGTTGATGAGACCAAAAAAGTTGAAGGCAACTAAGTGAGGCCCAGTGTGGCGGCGTGGCTGGTGTTCGGCTGACCCCGTCGACGGGCCACTGGCTGGCGGCCCCGGGTTGGGTAGGGGAGCGGCGCCCTGTTACAGACGGAGGAGTGCCGCAGGCGCCGGGCTCCGGGTCCCTCGTTTTCTGCTTCCGTGACCTCCTCAAGTCCCTCTGGGCAAAGCCATCATGCACCCCGAGGGGGAAGGCAATCTGGGCTTTGACTCAGCTCTGCCGGAGGTGACCAGGTGGCCTCTTAACTGGTACCACAAACTTGCATGTGTGGCTGAGAGACAGGAGGGTTAGGGGTTTAGATGCCAGCAGGGTTCTCTGGGTCTGGGGAGCCCAGGTAGGACACTTCCCAGAGAAGAGGGTTGGTTCTTAAGGGGTGAGAGAAGCAGAGAAGAACTGGGTTCAGAGACCCCTCAGCATTAAGTTGGCCAAGAGCGAGGATAAAGAACGTGCCAGCGTGGAGAGTGGCAGTGACGGAAGGAGGGAGAGGAAGGGGGGCCAGGTTAGCCAAGCCTTCGGTTTGGTTTCATGTTTTACAAAAAGCCCCCTGCGACCAGCAGCGCTCACTGTAGGTCAAGCTTGCTCCCCCTCGGCTCTTACTTAGGATGCTCTTTAGCTGGAGAAATCTCTGGGGAGCAGATGCTGGTCCCTTCAGCTTAGGAGAAAAGAAGCGCTTAGAAACCGTGCTTAGATTTTACCAAACCCTTAGCATCATCGACTCTCCTGAGGAGTTCTCCCTTCTCCACTGTAAGGTGGCTCTCCAGGGAGACGTGTTTAATTCCCCCTGCGCCTTTTCTGTGGAGGACGAACACTTTATGAACTCCGTCCTCCCTGGGTCTCACGTTTCAGCCTCCGCGACGGGAACACCTTGCTTTATTCCGCCAAAAACCAGTGGTCTCCCCCGCAGTTAGTGTTGCCGTCCTCAGACTACCCCTCCTCACATCACGCCTTGCTATTTTATTTGTAACACTATAACGTCTGTACTGTTCGCAAGTACATTTTATTTTTTGTCTGCTTGGTTTTCCTCGCCAGGTGTGGGGAGCGAAGTCCTGGAGCAGAAAGTCTGTATGAGTCTCACGACCCGGCGCCTGCCGGTGAAAAACATCAAGACCTACACCATCCGCGAGGGGCCCATGCGAGCAGTCATGTGAGTGTCTGTCCCCAGAGCGGGGCCTAGGGACCGTAGCGCAGAAAACCATCACTCTGCCCGGGAGGAACAGGTCCATGGGGACAGAGACCCCTGTGTCACCAGCAGCCCAGCTGTTTCCCATTTTCACGATGCCTCTACCTAGCAGCACAAAAGGGTTGTGGCCAAAATGTGGCAACCAGATAAAGGATATCCTCCTTTCTGACTTAGTTGAGCAGGAAACTCTGATTGTAACCAGAGGAACGCTGTGTCCAGTCCCGAGGGTTAGGGTTAGAGGTGGCTGGGTCGGGTCAGGACCTGGCCACACAGCCACGCGCAGGAGAGCATCTCACCTCCTCTCCGCGCCCCTCCCCTCCCCTTCAAAAGGGCTGTTGGAGAACGGGGGCCACATTTCGTCAGTTGCTCTATCTCAAGAGAATGTGTCAGAAACTAGCCTACACGGTACAGTCCTTTTCCAGGATCTCATTTGCAGAATAGCAGCCCTTCCCAACACATAACTACAGCTTTACCCAGAGAAATGACGATCATCACCTTTTGTTCAGAAAATGAGATGCGTGAGTGCGTTTAGATTTGAAAGAGCAGATGATATGTAATAGTCGGGCCAGGCAAAGTCAGATGTCCTGTTGAGTGACAGCGTTTGGTAGCACTGCTGAGAAGAGGAGCCTGGGAGTCTCGGCGAACAAAGGGGCAGTTCCTGTTAGAATAGACGGCAGCAGGGAGGGTTTCATTTGCGGTCTCCTGGCTCAGCGGTCCCTGCGAGAGCCCCCATAGTCGGCCAACTCCTAACTCCTGGTCTGAGGCTTTGAGGATGGGACTAACGTAGCCTATCTTTCCCTTGCATTGCAGATTTATCACCAAACGTGGCCTTAAAATCTGTGCTGATCCCCAAGTCGATTGGGTGAAGCACGCAGTTGAAAGCATGGACAACAGAAAAAACACGAACCAGAGCAAGCCTACGGGAGCCCAGCGGTCCACCAAGACAGCCGTGACCCTGGCTAGGTAGTGGGTTTGTCCCCTCCCAGGCCAGCCAGATGATTTCCTCCTTGCAGGCTCATGGACTCATTAAATTATACTCACGTTTTCTGAAAGTACTGCCTATGTCCAATTATTTTCTTGTATCTTTATTTGTCATGTCTTTCATATTCGTTTAGCTGCTCTAGTTAATAAATATTTATCACTGGGAATCGTCCCAACATCTGTTCATTGCGTCCTGGGACGGGTAGCATGTCACTTCCATTCGACTGCTGTGCCAGCTGTGTCTCCCTCTGGTGGCACCTGCGATGGGAGAGGGACAGGCAGTGCCCATAAGAGATGGAAGCTCCAGGTCTCTGCCCATGGGCTGTGAGTGACACCCCTCTTCTTAGTGGGGTTCTCGTCATGGAAGAAGGAGAGAGCCCAGCTGTCACGGGGCTCCCCTCCGGAGGGCCCGCTGCCTGAAAAGCGGCTTCGGCCTCGCTGGACCTTGAGAAGATTCTCTTCTCTCTGGTTCGTTTGATCTCCTAGGGAAGGAAAAAAACAAGGCAGGCTTGTCGGTTCTGTTACTTATCAGAGTGGCATAGACTGTTGGTGAAAAGATACTTGACTTGAATAAAAGCCCCAGTGCTCTCTGGCTGGGCGAGGCTCTTGCTGTCTCTCTGCGGTTTCTGTGATTGTCACCTACTCGAGTGATCGTCCTGCGATGCTTTTCCGCTTTTAGTGCCCTAACTCTGTCACCTGGAACGTCTCTTGAACGCGATCACAATTCGCAGTAACGTTTTAATGCTCTGTGGGCCGCTTGATGCCCAGACTCATGCTGTCTTGTACTGTCATTAAGTTGCTGATTGGATTCCTATTCATGGCTCTGCTACCCGGGTCGCTGGTGGTGTATGTGGGTCCGGCTCCATCTGACTCTCGGTGGTGAGACCCGGCCAGGCCTTGACCGCCCCAAGGGCAGAGGAAGTCCTAACGGCCGTCCGGTCCTCAGCAGCTTCGAGGCCTCTCCGAGGGCAGCCGAGGGCAGCTCATCTCCAGTGTCCGGCCGGTGAACCCGAGTGGAAAGCCAGCCGAAGCCGCGTCCAGGCCCCCAAGGGCTTTCACCCGAGTGGGGAGCGTAACTTTGAACTGATTGACGGGGGGTTGTGAGTTCCTTTAGGCAGGACCTGACTCTGCTAACCGCGCCCGTGAGGTTTATTGGGTTTCGGTTCAGTTCAAAGAATGAATCTAAGATTTCACGTATGTCTGTTCTCATGGCTGCCGCCCCTCCACCCTGCGCCGCTGGCAGCTCGCCCTTTCCTCTCACCTGAAACGCACCAGCTTGTGTTGAACCGGCTCCATTTCTGGTCGGGGCTCCTCATGGCCCTGCTGTCAGAGGAGAAGCTGCCCGTGTGTTTTCCTTTATTTTTCCGTAGTCGCATTTTTTACTACATGTGTTCGGGTAACCTCGGTTAATGACGTACACATTTCAGGTGTGCACCTTGGTCACAGGACATCGGTGTCCTCCACGCTGTGCCCACCCGCCGAAGTCCATCTCCTTCAGTCACCATGAGTTCGACCCCTTTACTTTCTTCACCCTCCCCCCGGTAACCACCATTCTCTCTAGGAGCTGCTGCTTCATTTGTTTGTTTCAGTTCGTTGCTGCTTGTTTTATGTCTCACACGGGTAAAATCAGATGGTGGTTGTCCTCTTCTGCCTGACGAACTTCACGCAGCAGAGTGCTCTCGAGATCCACCCATATCGTTGCAAGTGGCAGGATTTCATCTCTTTTTATGGCTGAGAAGTATTCGTTGTCTGTACGGACCACGTCTTCTTTATCCGATCATCTGCCGAAAGACGCTTCGGTCGTCCCTATGTCTTGGCTATTGAGACTAATGCTGCGGTGAACACAAGGGTACATAGATCTTTACAAATATGTGTTTTCAAAATTTTGGGGCATGTGTGTATTATTTATGTCAGCTCCCCAGTGCCTAGTATAGACTGGGAAGGGGTCCGTTCCTATTTGTTGGATAAATGGGAGAAAGAATATTTTACATTATTTCCTTTATTCTACTCACTCTTTTTATTTCTCAAGTTATATAAAGCACACAAAATGACCTTTACGAAAAGCAGGTTCGATTCAGCAAACATTTTTCAGCACTTTTATAGGACAGGTTCTGTGTTGAGCTCAGGATAAACCAAGATAAGCAAACACCGTTTCTGCCCTCCAGGAGCTCAGAGATGAGACTGTGATGTAAACAAGCTTACGGCACAGGACCCGGAACAGGAGAGAACATAGACGTGTTCAAGCAACAAAAATAACACAGAGAACAGGATGACTGACTGTCTCGGGAATGTTCTCACAAAGCACTTCTGAGTTTATACATAATTCTGAATTATTTTTATTAATAAAAGAATGCCTGGGAGATGCACCCTTAGTTGGTTTGAAGAAGGCTGCTGTCCCATATTTTCTCTCTTGACTAGGAAATCCCTCCACTGTGATTGTATCACTATCGTATTTTATTCTTTTCTGGGTGTTGGATATAACGATGCTATCACTGTAATTTAACCGGTGAGAAAACTGAGCAGGAGCGAAACAGTCTCTCTTGGCGAAGAGCACGCAGCCGCTGAGGAACCGGCCTGCTCTCGGACACGGACGTCCCCCGATGTCCCAGCCTCAGGAAGCCAAGTGGCAGTGTCAGAGCCTTCCCAGGGTGACGTGCCTGAGGCTTCCCTGAGCCCAGGCGCATCCTGCCATGCGTCTCACGAGTTTCCAGATAAATTAAAAGGGTCTGAAGACCGTAACGAGGACTTCCCATTTGACTTTTTCTACGCAATCATTTTACACGTGGTTTTATTTTGTCAAAGTAATACATGAACGTGGTCTGAAGTTTAAATAGTACAAAAGGGCTCCTCTGAACGCCAAGAACTCCTGCCCTCTTCTCGTTCTTTCTGATGTTCCTCCTCATGGGCTGCGGCGCTCACTCTCCGAGCTGACGGTTTTCCTGACAGTCGCCGCCACTTCACAGTATGGGTGAAAAGCCCTGTATTTCCTGGGTTGTCGGTGTGGGACGTTAACTGTGGCCGCCTCTGTGACACACTCAGGCCCAGCCGCCTTCCCCCCGCCCATGTACGCAGGTGGCTGTTTTAGTTGGTTGTGTCTCTAGCTTTCTGTAACATTCCTGTCGTTCATTTCTTCTTCTGTCAACTACGCACCGTTTCTCAACTTGCCCTTTTGCAAGGCTGTTCTGCTTTCTCTCACGAATGCCCACATAGTCTTTACTCTGTAACCAGCCCTGTTTTGTTGCTTTGCAAACGTTGGGACATTTAATCACATAAGAGAGCCCGGTGACAGACCAAACGGCTGAGGATAACGAGGCCGCGGGTTTGTGGGGGGCAGCTCGGACCTGCGCCCCGGGAGGTGCGGCCTGTGCTCACGCTGCTGCGCAGGGACAGCACGCGGCGGGGGGCGGGGACTGTGCTGAAGACCCAGGAAGGCTGCATCAGGCCCCTGTGCTGTCTTCCCATGCAGCCGTGAACCGAACGAAGTCCCTGCCGCCGCGGAGCTTCCATCCTGGTAACACGGGCCCTTTCTCTTTTCCCAGGATTCCTTCACCTCCCCCCTCGGCCAGGAGGTGCCCCTCAGGAGCCCGATGCAGCAGGGCCAGACGCCCTGCCGGGCCCCGGGGCGCAGAGGGGGAACCGGACGCGGTCTGGCCTTCAGGCAGCTCACACCCGTAAGTAGACAGTTGCCACAAAGTGTCACATGTGTGATGGCCGCGACGTGGAGAGAGCGGGGCGTGGGCACAGCGGTGGGTGCACAGGGTCAGGAGGGGCTGCCCCTTGGGGACAGTCCTTACCCTGGGTCCTGCAGGGCACATTGGAGCCACTTGGGGGGGTTTCAGGGCCTTCCAGGTGAGGGGCATGTGGCGATGCCTGCAGGGGAGAGAGCTTGGAGTGCAGGTACCGTTGACCCTTGAACAACGCAGGGGTGGGGGCCCTGATCGCCATGCAGTCGAAAATCCACGGGTGACTTCAGGCTCCCTCCGCGCTCAACCACCAGCAGCCGCTTCTTGCTTTGCCGATGACATAAGCCGTGGATTAACACTTCTTTTGTGTGTCATATATATTCCACGCTTAGTCTCACAAGAGAGTGAGCTAGAGAAAAGAAAACATTAAGAAAGTTACAAGGGAGCCACATTTATGGTATTTATCGATAAAAATCTGCGTAGAAGAGGACCTGCGAAGTTCAAACTCGTGTTTTTCAAGGGTCAGCTGCGGTTTCGTGTGGCCCAGGGACAGACTGAAGGCGGGACAACAGAGGGAGGGTAGAGCGATGGAGGGGACATCACCTGGCCTCCATCTGCCAGGCCGGGATGCGTGCGCTTCGTGGGAAAGGCCGTGCGGAATGAGACCAGGTGGCCGTGGGGCTCAGAGAAGGGGACGGTGCTGGGAAGCCAGGTCCCAGGTGCTGTGGACCTGGGGACTGTTGAACTGGCCTGGCCTGGTGCGACATGGTTTTCCTTTCCTCCTGGGCCTTTTCTGCTTAGTCGGAGCTCTTGTTAGCGTGCGTGACGGCCTGGCTCCGGGTGCAGCCCAGAGGCCTCAGGCAGTGACCGCGCTCACCGGTGCCTCGGCTGCGCGGAGCTAGGGCTGGGATGGGAGAGCACTGCATTGTGGGAAGCGCCACATTATTTGCGTTGTCGATTGGCGAAGCAAAGGTTGAGTCTGTGAGGCCAAGGTTGGAGCCGGCCACCCAAAGGGAGGAGGAGGCAAAGGTGAGACAGAGTAAACTCGGTGCGGGTGGGTGTTGGTGTGGGCAGAGAGGTTCACAGACCAGCCTCTGCTGATTTTCTGGGCCCCCGGAGTCTCTGTGGAGCCGCTGCAGAGGACAAGGGCCGTGGGACCTCGCCTGCTGTCCTGAAGCCGGTGATCGAGGGGGGATAGAGCCCTCACCAGAGCCGCGCCCACTTGGACGTTCCAAAGGGCTCCTCTCCACCCAGGGAGCCTCTTCTCAGAGCCCTTTCTGGTGTCCCCAGCCAGGGTGACGCCCCTCTTGTGTGCCCACCGGCCCAGAGCTTACCTGTATGATTGCTCACGTCATGCTGAAATACCAGCTTGTATTTCTTCATTTTCTCTCTTGGTCG